CTGTTACGTGCGGGATTTGCCAATCAATAAATCAAAGCACCTGAAAAATGAACCGGGCACCATACTGCCTCCTTTCCCGCTTCTTGATTAAAACAAACAACAGTGCGAAATGTCAACCTGTCAGTCGTTCGGAAAGTCTGCGGCATGGAAAGGCGATTACCCAAATGACTTTTTAAAAGTATGAGAATTTGCCTGGCTGAACGTTTTTTAATTAATGCCGCAAGTTAATGTTAATAGCTATTCATAGCTCGGTGAGCTGTGCTTGGGGCGGGTTTAGGAAACATTTGGTATCTCTGGCAGAGGCAGGGTGTTGGCCTGGCTGGCAAGGGGCTGTGGGCCGTTTTCGCAAACCTGGGGGACCTCAGGGTTCATGTGCGCCTCAGAGAGGAGGAGGCTGTTTGCAGTGAGGGCGTGGGCTTCTGTGCATCGTGAGGGGTTTCCGTGTTAGCATAAGCGTTGCTGCTGCCCAGGTGGTCTCTAGGGCTAAGGTCTCCCCAGATGTGTCACCCCATCATCTGGTGAACAAGCCTTTCAGGGAATTCTTTGAAAAAAAAAAAATGTTGCTTGGGGGTCACACCATTTAAATTTACCTCCCTGGTTTTCTGTGATCTCATTTTTCCTTAAAATATCATTGGAAAAGTGTTTTTGAGTTGAGCATTTTATTTTCCATTTAAACATAGTGAAACCGACACACGGGGGCCAAGGCTAGGCAGGAGGGTGGGGGGCCTGGGCCCAGCACGCCGTCTGTGGGTGAGCCTTACGCAGACTGGGCCGGCCTCAAGGGACGCCCCTTTCTGTGTTGCTGATGATGGGCAGGACACTGCATTCAGAGGGGGTCCCTAGAGCCAAAGATGTGGTTTTAAAGAGAACACCCGACTTGTACACTTGCGATATTTTTTTTAGAGCACAGTGGGTTGGGCTCTGTCTTTAAGCTCATGTTAGAGACTCTGCAAAGACCCAGGGGAGAGTTCAAAGTCGGACCAGGGTTAGCAGCTACAGATGGAGGTGGACTGGACGAGACTCGAGAGGTCAGAGAGCCACCAAGAGCAGCTCGAGAGAGCTTTGCCACTGTTGAGATTTGTCACCTTCACTGACAGAGTGCCGAGGGCCAGAGAGCATGGCACATAGTAGTAGCCTGGCTGCTCTGATTAATGATGTGTACGCTGCACTAGGCTTTTAGGAATTCAAAAGCATGAGGCATATTGCTCGCCCTAAAAAAAGTAAGATCTTCTTGGGGAGAGAGGGTAGATAACCTATTCCCTTATGTTTAGTGCAAAGGTGGGGTTCGGGCAGTAAGTCTGTGGCTCAAGTGTGGGCCATCACCGAGGGCTGGAAAGCCAAGTGGTTTCTCGTAGAGGGTGGGACTTGGGCTGGGCTTAAAGGGAAGGTGTTGGGGAGAGGCAGAGCAAAGGAGGTGTTGCAGGTGTGGGGAGCAAAGATTAGATAAGATGCCTGCAGAGAAGTCCTACAAGGAGGCTGCAGAGAGATGAGGTCAGAGTGCAGAGGCCTCCAGTTTCAGGCGTTAAGCTTTGGTCTGTGCGTGGAAGGCAGTAGGGAGCCACTGACAGCTGTCGAGCGGAGTTTGGCAGAGCTGACCGATATTTTCGAATGATAAGCTGGGCGGGCGATAACGAGTGGACTGGAACAGGCAAGTCTGAAGTCAAGGAGCCCAGGTGGGGCATTACTGCAGCAGCGGAAGGCAAAAATAGCAAGATCACTCTCAGCTTTAGCCTTGGAGCCGGAAGAACATGGAGCAGATGTGGACTCAACTGCTTACCAGCCACGTGACCTTGAGCAAGCTCTAAACCTTTCCTCGGGTCCATCACCTTGTCTTTCACATAGGGATACTAACATTCATTCATTCCGGACAACGGAAAGAGGCCTCCATCGTGCATTGTGAGGGGAGGGCAGCTCCTCTCTGCGACGCAGTGTAAAGTTGGTTTCGCTTACATGGGGGGCTTCCGAGGGGAGCCTTGTTGAGGGGCATAGAATGAGTTCCATGTGGACGTGGGAAATTTGAAGATTTTTGGGAATCAGTGATCATCCTGCCCTGTAGGCAGCTGGCACACGGGGGCTTAGGACAAAGGACGGGGCAAGAGATTCGGGGGATCCTCAAGAATGCGGGGAGAGGATGGGACCTTGGCTGGGCTGAGGACTGAGCCTCGGGGTCCCTCTCTGTGCTGAACCCAGGAGGAAGAAGAGGAACCGAGAAGAGCAGGGAGCAGCCACTGAGACCCAGGCGCTCGGGCGGGGTCCTCAGGCTCGAACCCTCTCTTTCTGTTCCACGTGTGCACGGAGCAGCAGGCGCCTGTTCCTGGCACGGCCTCTGTGGCTGTGTCGGTGGAGTCTGACCCCCTTACCCAGCCTGGGGTTGCGTAACAGGCTCCGAGACGTGCTCTGGACCACAGGTCCTGAACCGAAACGTGAATGTCATCAGAGCCAGCTGTCTGCAATGGCACAGGTATTTGGAAAATGCCACAGAGCAGGTCTGCTCAACCCTGTGGCCTGCGTCCTGTCAGCCGGGTTCGGGTTCTCGGTCAAGTTCATGGTTCAAGCCAATAATGACTAAACCCTCCGGTGGGAAATGCTGCCCTCCAGTCAGTGAGACTTACGGCTGCCTCTGATTCAGCCGGTGGCACCTGCCTCCTGGGTGTGTCTCTCTCCCAGTGTCCCTCGGGTCACGCAGGGGGTCCCAAGCGTACCCTTGCAGGATCTCACCTCCAACCCCAACTCTGGGTCAGGCTTGCAGCTCTTTATCTCCGTTTTACAAGCTGTTTCTGATTTCACAATCTCGCCACTTCTGTTCTGACTTCTTTTTCATTGCATTTATAGTTTCATTTCGAGGTCAAGACAATGAATGTCCATTTTATTTTTATTAGATTTTAAACACCAAGGCATTTCCCCCTCTTCACCAAACAATGCCTGTTCGCTTTAGTCATGCCACAACGAGAAAACAAATCACCCATGAACTTACTGCCCAGAGATGCTTATTTTTAAATAACCTTTTGCTTTCTCCGTCTAGGTTTGTTTTGAGAACCTATGCGATTCTGTAATGTATCCATATGTATATTTACAATAATAGCAATAGCTAACACTCATTGATTAATTACTGCAGGCCAGGAAATATACTACACTGTCGAACGCATGGTTTAATTTAGTACCGGTAACCAGCCTGTGAAATAGAGACGAGCATAGCCCTCAAATAGAAATAACAATCATGACAGCAGCTAACAGTTGTGGAAGGCTTACTAGTGGCAAAGAATAGTCACTACTGCTGTCCCCATTTTTCGGGTGAGAAAATGGATAGTCTGAGGTCAAGTTGGGAGTTTCGTCTTGGACTCTTGGACTCTTGAATCCACGTGCGAGCCGTGGTTCTGATCACCTCCCAATACACTCGGAATCGTCACTCCCGTGTCAACCCTCTGCACCATTTTTACTGGTTACTTGGCGTTCTCGTCTCTGTCTCCTGTGCCCATTGCCCACCCCCGGAATGGATAGAATGGGTAGTTAAGAATGAAGGTCTTGTCATGTAGTCACTGTTCAGGAAGGGGACACTTTTCTTCTGAGACTCCTCGGTGCCGTTGACCTGAGTGGGTGCTTAGCTCCTTCCAAAGAAGTGTATGCTTGTCTCAGCTGTTTTGGAATCAGAGTCTGAGACCTGGCTAGAAGTCTCTGCAAAGACTGCAGTCCAGCTGACAGTAAGTGCACGTTCCAGCATCCCCGTCCCCCACTCTTCACCAGGTCACTAGAATCCCAAGGGACCAGGCACAAGAAAACCACGTTTCCAAAGTCTCGAGTCCAAGGCCGTTGTTAGAACCGGTTTATTTTCCCATCAAGTCATTGTCTTTGAAGACCTAAACACGCACATATACTCACCCCTACGTTGACGTTCGAGGTGAGGTTGCCCATATACGATAAGTCCTCATCCGAAGCGGGGTTTGGCTCCCATGCCGTTTTGACTCAAGAGTGAACGTGCACGTAAGGCCAGAACGGCATGAACAGTGTACACTTTTTCTTGGGGCCAGGTCATTCTCAGGGAGAGCAAGAGGTTTTACATTTCCTGGGTGCCTCACACTGGCATTAACGTTGGGAAAGCTGCCTAGGCCTCTGCTTATCTCACAGCTTCGGTTCTCAGGCGGACCTTCATTTGCATAGACTGCTAAGGGCTCGGTGCTAAATTCCTCTGCAGTTGGCCAGGGCTTGGCCTTTCAGGCCCTGGGCGTGTGCTCATTTGCAGGGCTGACTTAGGAGTCTGGGTGGGGACCTGTCTTCCCCAGGGGAAACGTCCAGAAAGGGGCAGAAGGAAAGACTGGAGAAAGCTTGCCCTGTACTGGTGCTTGTTTTGGTTAGATGCAAGATGATCCTCGCTTGGTGTCAACTTGTCCTGGCACTGTGCTAACCACTCTGTGCTGATCTGGCTGTTTAATGAGCTAAGGAGCTGGGCACTGATTCCTGTAAATAGCATTGTTGTCTTGAAAGACTCCTAGGCGAGGGAGAGAGAGAGAGAGAGAGAGAGAAATGTGTTTAGAGAAATGTGTGTATGTGAGTGTTCTCCAAGTAAACATTTCAGAGTTGGGTCAGAATCATAAGGAGATAAATTTGCCACTGGGCTTGTCAGGTTTTTTGTATTGAGTTAGTGCCAATGAATAAAGCCCTTGATTTGGGTTTGGGACGCCCTAACTTTTCCTTTTTGAAGACTCTATCTATCTATCATCTATCTGTCCATTATCTCTCCTAGTTGGTACTTTATGTAATGTTACCTGGAGTGGGGTAGTTTGTGGGAAAGACCATCAGGTGGCTTGTTTGTCTAAACGCCAAACCGGGACGAGGTGAGGAGGGGGAAGGGCGGGCAGCAGAGAAGGCAACCCTCCCTCAGCAAGAAAATAAAAAAGATAAATCAACCCTAATCCTGACCTGGGGGCAAATCCCAATA